AAAAAAAAAAAAAAAAAAAAAAAAAAATGAGACTACTTCTATTAAAATAAAAAGCATTCCGTAAATAGATTCCAGAGAACCAGTAATATCACCATAATATTATATCAGAGCAATTATTATGAAAATCAATTACCTATATAATTAGGATAAATATATGTGCACATATCTTAAAAAGAATTACATCCAAATGGTCTTGGTTTCTGTGTTAAAACAAAAACTAATAATAATGAAAATTAAGTAGAAATATTAAAGGATAACATTTTCCTTTTTATTTGCACAGTAATACATGTAAAAATACAGGATACAAATAATACATATTGTTAAATATATTCAAAATCATTCTGAATTGGAAAAATGAGACTTAACAAATACTGTTTTTTCTCTTACTGCTTTATCAGAAAACTTGATGACTACTCAACTGGGATAATGAAATGATAATTGTAAACATGTTACTAGTTGAAATACTTGTTTTTTATATAAGTATACCATTCAAAGAGTATGATATGCTAATTAAGACATTAGAAAAAAGATAAATCCTAAGCAATTTTAAACTAGTGTCCACAGGATGGATTAACAATTACATGATCTTATACTTCTTTCATACCTACAGAATCTATCATCATATACTGAAGAAAAAAGTAATTACAAAGACACACATAGAATTGTTTTTTTTTACTGGTAAGTTAGAAGCTATTATATTTCAGTCACTGCAACAAGTCCCATGATGTGGAGTAAAGGGACCGGCAAGCAGAGCTATGGATAAATGTTTAACCCCTGGTATCTCATAGGTACTATGATCTGGACTGATTCTTCAAATACAAAAAACCTGTAAAACATATAGTTCTTGTGGTTTCTCTGTGTGTAGAACTGTCTCCAATGGCCTGACATTTCAAAGTACAGAGTCTTATATTGAGCTAAAGCTGAGCAGATGACCCAGTTTCACTTGTGCACTCCCCTGAACAGCCTGAGTCATGTTGTGGGAGTGGGTCATACAAGCAGCCTCAGTTGCACGCAGCCAACACTGATAAAAACTACAGACAGGACAGCATGCTGTGTGTGACAATAAAGTTGTAGGACGTGTCACCTCATCATTTTCCTGAGATTAGAGCTAAATCCACCTTATTTAGATACAGTTAGCCCTCCTAGAATTATTACAGAAACACCTACTAACATCCCAATTTGAGAGATTTATAATAACAAAGAGAATCGAAGAAATGGGAGAAGAGATTAAAATACTTTTGTAGGAAGATATGAGAAATATCTGCTAAGGAACATCAGAAAACCAAATCTGTACATCAGTCTGTCACACTGTTCATACGTTCAGAATCATCCCAGTAGACTCTCATGCCAGCTTAGAAATCAAAATCCCTGCACACACTTAAAATCACACATAGCTTAATTTAGCCATTCTTTCCTTTGACGCACTTCTCTTTACACAGTCTAAGGCAAAGGAGATAAAAAGCTTCTCCCAGCTCCTCCAACATTGTGCTTTAATAACTTTCTATCTTTAGCCATCACAAATTTATGTAACTGTTCCTATATAAGGGTTTAGAATTTTGAGAGAATTATTCCCTCTGTTTTTTACCTCTAACTGAAAAAGACAGTAACAAGAAAGTTAAAGGCAAAGACTTTGCAACTGTCATCAAGAAAGACTAAAACTTCCTTCTCACCTAGGGAAGTGAACATGTCTAAAAACATTAGAGATGTCCATAAAAATAATTCAGGTTACTATAGCTTAAGATCCACCGAATAACTACCATGTCACTAGAATTAGACTAGATGGATCAAATTAGTTAAGATCACATACTAATGTCATCATGATAGTTTATAACATAGATGATAAATGCCCTATGATGAATAGCATTACTAAGAGCCTCCAGTTAATCTGCAAAATCCAAGTTAAAATGCTGAGTTTTTTGTTTTGGTTTGGTTTTTTTTGGGGGGGTGTACTGGGGACCAAACTTGGGCCCTTGTGCTTGCAAGACTGGCGGTGGAACCACTGAACTAAATCCCTGGCCCAATGCTGAGTGTTTCTATATACTGTATATAGGATGGAAGACTTGGCAAAATTAATTGGAAACAACCTATGCAAAAGGAGAGCAAGCAGTTCTTCAATCTTCTTTTTAGCTTCGACTTCTGATGAACACTTTTTGAATGATTCCTCTTCACTAAAGGACTACCAAAGAAATATGAACAAGAATTAATGTAAACTCAAATAAACATGTCCAATTAGCAGTGTATATGTCAAATAAATATTTAACACATTCTTTATTAACTTACTTCTTATGCTTAGTTTAAATCATTGAGTTTACTTTTATATAATTTTTTTATCTGCAAGTTATTATCCTTCATTAGAAAGTGCCCTGGAGGTCAAGAAAATTATAGAGCTCTTGTATCAATCTCAAACTTGATTGTATGACTATAGCCAGGATCTTAGTCCCCTAAAACTCAAATTTGATTTATCCTTGGCTAAGTTATTTAGCCTTTCTGAAGTACACTATCACCTTTAAAAAAAAAAAGAATAAAAAAGAATAGTACTGCCTATCTCAAAAGTTTGTTGTGAATATTAAATGGGGTATATAAAGCACTTAGTAACTGTCACATAGGAAAAAAATCAGTATTAAGCGGGTGACTATACCTTTTCCTGTCTGTTAAATCACTGAACTATTAAGAATACAAGATTTTTTAAAGATTAAAATATTTTGCCACATATATGCATTATAAGCTATTAAAATAGTTGTATTCAAAGTGGCTAACTTTAGATTTAAAAATATTAAAATCAGTTTTGATTTAAGAATATTTATTAATCTAAGGGCCGGGGACTTGGCTCAGTGGTTCCACCACCTGCCTTGGAAGGGCAAGGGCCTGAGTTCAATCCCTCATACCAAAAAAAAAAGAGTATTTATTAATCTCGTATAATAAATTAGCCTTCTCATGGGAGAGGGATCATTTACTAAATGAAAATCAAACTAGAATAAAAACATAGTAACAGTAAACTACAATAAACTAGAAAAGCCAACTAGAATAACACAAATACTAGAAATATTTATTGCAAATAATGTGACTACCAGTACTTAATTAAAATTAAGATAAATACCACAGTCTTATACCTGAGGTTGTCCTGAGGGTATCACAGAAGAATTATCCTCTCCAAAACTGAGCTTCTTTATATGCTGAGCAAGAGAAATTCCTAATTCCTCCTCTAATATTTTGGATGAAAACGTTTGGAGTTCATGAACAGTATGGATTCCTAGTGCTTCAAGACATTTGGCAGTTTTATAGCCAATACCTAAACAAAGAGAAATGCATAAAATATTGTAGTAACTTTACTCATTAAAGTAAAGCTGATAAAAATGTTAAGAACATATGAGTGACATTGTCTGCCTCACAAGCACAAGGACCAGAGTTCAATCCCCAGTACCCCCCCAAAAAATATATATGTACCATATCTTAAATTCTGTAAATAATGTTTCCGTAAGTAAAATCAGTTGGGCATGGTGGCAAATGCCTGAAATCCCAAGCACTCCAGAAGCTGAATCAGGAGAACTGTTGCAAGTTCAAGACTAGCCTGGGCTATATAGCGAGCTCATGGCTAGCCTGAACTACAAAACTGTCTCAAAAAACCAAACTTTTTTGCTAAATCAAACAAATTAGGTTATTCTTTTTCCGCTCAGGGCCTGAGTTATACACACCTCTTTAAAGCCCCAATATAATATAGTAAAATAAATTTACAGTCAATAAATTATCTTGATAAAATGAAACTTTCATCACCTATTATATATTATTGTGGAAGAACTCAGGAATCATGATTATTAATGTAAACAAAAAGATTGTTACTGTAAGAATTTTAATTACTGTTTATTAGCTGTTTTCTACACACAGCACTACACATTTATCCACAAATTGTATCTTGCAATATTTACTATCCAGAATACAACTAAGAGCAAGAAAACAAGTTCTTGCAATAAAAGTGAGTCATTTCATTTACAGGAGAAACAGACCACTTAATGTACTTCTTTCATTTAAAAAAGAGTAATTCTATAATTATCAGTTTTTCTTGCACAGTAAATGTAGCAGACAGAGGAGAGGTCGGGGTGGGAGAATTATTACAGTTGACTGACAGGTGTTTCATAGCAGAAATAAAGGAAGAGTAGCAATAACAATGAGTAAAAAAGTTGAAAGTCTATAAAAATGCAGATACAGTCCCTCAAAATGCAAAGTAAATTAGAATGTTTTGCACATTTAGTCCTATTTATTAGTATGAAACTGTTCTTTAGAATGCAGACCCAAAATTTCAAGTTATAACTATACAGTAACACCTCAGTTCATGAACACTTCTGCTTGCAAACAATTCAGTTCGCAAACAAATGTTCAGCAAAATTTTGTTTTCATTTGTAAAATTCTTCATTGGATGATAAACACAACCACAGCCATCTTCCCCAAAGTCATAAAACAAATTAAAGTTTATAAAAAGGAACTACTACTGCACTTACTGAGGAGGTTAAGACTGCATATGGTACATTTTAGATTCACACATGGGTTAAAATGGAAAGTTATGACACCTAAAAGATTACAATGTTTTACAGATTTACTAATCTCATTCCCTAGGAATGCTACAGTAATGAAATTTACAACATTAATTGCAGATGGTTTATTAAAACACAGGTATTTGATCTTTAAAAATACAAGTCTGCTCCATGACCCATATAGGTCTGTGAACCCCTCAAGAAAATCTTTTCCCTCATCTTTAAAATGAGAAACCTGGCCTAGAAACTTTGGAAGGCCCATTGTAGCCCAAATATTTTATATATAATCTCCAAGGAGCATTAGTAAAAGATGGACTTCCCACTACAGATGCAATGCACAGTATAGAGTATGAACACAGAGACTGGTAAAAATGGATCATATATTTCCAGGTTATAACTTTTATGCAGAAGTAGAAAAGTACTTTCATATACTTCCCTATATGGATTTGCTCCAGAAAAAATTATGGGTTTTTTGGTTTTGGTTTTAAATTTTCTCCAAGAGCCAAGTACATGCCTCTAGGAATTACACAATGTCTACAAATTTTAAGATTAAAGAAATATAGTAAAGCCAATATAAACTTTTTAAATCTACTTCTCTTACCAGGTATTTCCTTTACATGATTCAAACCAAGAATGAGATCTTGACAACTTTCAGGTAATAAGACCGTTTGCTGATTTGGTTTAAAGACACCAGAAACTAATTTAGCCAGCAGTTTATTAGAAGCAATTCCAGCACAGCCAGTGAGTCCCAACTGATTATACATGGTGTTCCGCATCTCTGCTGCAATCTGGGATCCAATAAGTAGTCTGACATGCATAGTATCATGCAAGTCTACAGCTATAAAAACAATGTTGTTAAAGGTCACACAAAATTATTGTTTTTACAAGAATTTTGAAAAGGTACAAGGCTCAGTTTTATAACTAAATCCTCCTATCCCACATTACCACTACCCTATTACTGACTTGACTTATTTTAGTTTTTCATAGGAATACTGTAAAGTAAACCAATACCCACAAGTGAATTCCAGTAAATATATACTGGGAGTGCTTATTAAATAAATTAAGAAAACTGATTTGTTAAAAAATTCCTACAGACATCTATACCTAAATTTTTCACTCTAGAAAATTTACACACTAAAAATTTCTGACCTGCACATAATTTAAGATAACTTTCCTAAAAAACGTAGGGAAATTACATAAAAACAAATTTTCTTAGGTGTGAAATATTAAGAGTCATATATCCTTATCCTCCATGCTCATGCTAGAAGGATTCACGGAGGAAGTGTCATGATTTCTGCACTTCAAATGGCTCATCAGTATTTCCAAAAAAAGAACAAAATAAACATGGCAAAATAATATTTGATATATCTACAAGAAAAGACATAATGGGTGCTCATTGTATGTTTCTATCAACTTTTCTATAGGTTTGAAAAAAAACTTTTTAATCTTGGGTTAAAGAATAATTAATGAGCTGGGTGTGGTGGTGCACGTCTGTAATCCCAGCACTTGGGAGGCTGAGGCTGGAGGATCGCTGTAAGTTCGAGACCAGCCTGGGCTACACAGTGAGTTCCAGGTCAGTCTCAATTACATAGTGAGACCCTGTCTTAAAAAAAAAGGGGGGGAGGAATAATTAATGAATAACTAAACATTCCCTATTTTTGATATGAAACCTAGCTCTGCATAGTGATATGTTCCAATCAATAAAATCTGAGCTTGCTTTAAAAATTACACAGAAATAGGGTCAGGGATTTAGCTCAGTGGTGCTGCTGCCTGTCTTGCACGCACAAGGTCCCAAGTTTGAACCCCAGTACAAAAAAAAAAAAAAAATTACACAGAAATATATTTTGAATCTTCTTGCAACTTAGTGCTTTGACAAAAGAGCACAGGTACAAAGTATACATGAAAAGCTTTCTAACTCCTAAAAACTGGAGTTCTATTCCCTTTTATTCTGTGGAAAACTACACTGGAGGCTGATGACCAGCCCTCAAAATAGGGATATAAGAGGAGCACATGCTGAGAGCTAGGACCAAAAAGGTCAGGCAATTCTTACACAAAAGCAGAGTAGCTTGTCTTCTATGGAGAGTCACTGGCAGTCACAAGATGTCTGCAAGTCCAATTATGTTTTTGCTGGCACTTACTGCAGCTTATTTTCAATGCAAACATCCCTGGAAACATCATTAGTTATTCACACCTTAATAATGGAATGAAGATGAACCATGTTGCTTTCTTGCTAATGATATGGATTATTTGAATGATAAAATAGAGAATATACTAGCACATGGCAGACAACATTCTACAGCCTTGCTTGGCAGGGTGGCACCCACCTGTATAAAAAAAAAAAAAAAAAAAATTACACAGAAATATATTTTGAATCTTCTTGCAACTTAGTGCTTTGACAAAAGAGCACAGGTACAAAGTATACATGAAAAGCTTTCTAACTCCTAAAAACTGGAGTTCTATTCCCTTTTATTCTGTGGAAAACTACACTGGAGGCTGATGACCAGCCCTCAAAATAGGGATATAAGAGGAGCACATGCTGAGAGCTAGGACCAAAAAGGTCAGGCAATTCTTACACAAAAGCAGAGTAGCTTGTCTTCTATGGAGAGTCACTGGCAGTCACAAGATGTCTGCAAGTCCAATTATGTTTTTGCTGGCACTTACTGCAGCTTATTTTCAATGCAAACATCCCTGGAAACATCATTAGTTATTCACACCTTAATAATGGAATGAAGATGAACCATGTTGCTTTCTTGCTAATGATATGGATTATTTGAATGATAAAATAGAGAATATACTAGCACATGGCAGACAACATTCTACAGCCTTGCTTGGCAGGGTGGCACCCACCTGTAATCCCAGCACTTGGGAAGCTGAGGCAGGAGGATCACTGCAAGTTCCAGGCCAGCCTGGGCTACACAGTGAGTCCAAGGCCAGCCTGACTACTGTCTCAAAAAAAAAAAAAAAAAGATTCCACAGCCTGGATAAGATTCCACAGCTGTTAACTTATACTCAGAAAACAAGAGGTTGAGGGTATGTCTTAGTGGGACAGCACTTACTTAGAAAGTCAGAGAACAACATGAGGGTTTCAGTGCCTCAGAGGATAAAAGATACATCAATGGTGAATTTAGCCTACCTCAAAATTTCACTTATAGATAGTTGTGAAAAAATAAAAAGAAACCTAAAAATCATAGTAACAAATCACCTCCTATAACTTACAGATGACCTAAATAGCATAGACCACCACCTGCCTTGCAAGTGCAAAGTCCTGAGTTCAATCCCCAGTACCCCCCACCAAAGTGGCACATATAGACTATGTCAGAGAGATGAAAGAGCACTGCGCTAAGATCATTAAGATCTTTTGTTTTTTTGCACTTACTATGGAATAGCAATGCCTAATTTTAGTTAAGACAGATTATTAACTATGGCTATACCACCAAAAAAAGTCCTAAGTCTTTCAGAATGACACAGTGAACTCAATAAACATTAAGAAATACATGCATTTGTAGTCACTAAGAAGAATGAATAAAAACCTACTCACACTGATTATTATATACGTGCCCTGACATGGTCACAGCAGAAAGGTCATCACTTTGCAGCTGCTGGAGTCGCTTCTCAACTATTTGCGTTAGGTCCACAAAATTTTCATCAAATCCAAGTCTCTCAACAAGTGGAGTAAATTCTCCCAACAATTCTAGATTGAAGTAATATTAGAATACATGTAATTGATGTTATAACTAGAACAGATCTCATGTTTAAGACATATTAACTGTATCTTTAAAGGTTTATATATCCAGTTACATAGTAGCTTTAATAAGCCTTAATATGTAAATAATTTAATATGTTAATACCCTCAGTTGGCTGAGAATTTTTTTCCTATACAATATTTTGATTAGAGGCAATATTTTCCAACAAAATAAGTCCAAAAATGACATTCTTAGGGCAATTACTCATGGCAATATATTTACCTCAATCTTCTATAGCTCTAATTTCTGTACATTAAGTATCAATGCTTAAAGTTAATTATATTCTTGAAGCAGTGTATCAAATAAATTACAGTCTTCTTAGGAAAGTAAAGTAATATTTTCCACAAGAGTTTAAAATGGGCCAAACCAAACAACATTTAAATGTTCTATTTATTACTGAGTCAAACAAAAGCCACTTAAATTTTGAAATATATTATAACATAATATTTTGGAGGGAGTTTGGGATTTTGTTTTGTTTTTTACTGGTACCAGGGATTGAACTCAGGTCTCTGTGCAAGGCAAGCAGCAGCACTACTGAGCTAAATCCATGGCCCATATAACAGTATTTTGATTAGCCATTCCCCTGAGTATTTGCAGAGATGAGCAGCAACTTACAGATATTCAAACACCCAACATCTAGCATCATACCTAATCCTTAAGTGAAATATTTATTAAACTGAACTTCACCAATATTAAGAATAAATTCAAAAGGATTGTCAACTCTCACCTATTAAAATTAATAACAACTTTGAAATCACTTAGAAGAACTTTTCACTTCTGCTTGAATCACCTTTTTTTGATACTAGCTAAATGACAGAATTATAGTAGTTCTTTTGTATCCACAGGAGTTACTGGACCCCCACTGATTCCAAAACCAGCAGATGCCCAAGCCTCTTATATTAAATGACACAGTATTTACATATATCCTAAGCACATCCTCCTCATGTGTTTTTTCCTCCCATATATTTTAAATCACCTCTGCTTAAAAATCTTATACAGTTCTATAGTTGTCACACTGTATTATTCAAGGAATAACAAGAATAAAGCCTGTATAAATCCGGTAGAGAAGAAATTTTTTTATAGTTTCAATTCAGTTGGTTGAATTCAGATAAGAAACCTAGGGACACAAGGGTGGTGTGTGTGTGTGTGTGTGTGTGTGTGTGTGTGTGTGTGTGTGTGTGTGTTTCTCTCTCTCTCTCTCTCTCTCTCTCTAACATATGAAAATGCATAGGGATTTTATTTCTGAAGGCTCAGAAACAAAAGGACTATGTCGTTCTGTTCTACACTGATCTTTTTTTTTACAAAAATACCTTTGTTTTACTGATGCCAACATTGATAACAGAACAATAAAGATAATAATGTGACCTGGTAAACATCAAAAATAACTTCAATCTACCTAGAGATCCATTATCTTCTTTGAGGTTAGTCTAAAGATTAAAGAAATGAAATTTTTCAAAAGTACACACCTAATATCAAAAATAACATATAGAAAAATTTACCAAAAGAATACTACACAAAAAGCTTTTTTTTTTTAATTTCAGAATATGAATGATTTTACTTCTCTTGAAATTATGGGGATTCAATGAGTCTCTTTAAAGAACTACTCTATTGATTTTGTGTAAGATCACTGAAAGAATTTTACTTGGTACCGAGGATAGAACTCAGGCCCTTGCACTTGCCAGGCAGGCACCAGAACCACTGAGCTAAATCTCAGGCCCAAGATCATTAAAATATTGATACAGAAAATACTGAGAGCTATGCTTGCTTTCTTAAAACTTTTCAAGATCAGATTGATATAATCTAACTAAGCATTTACTCCATGATATAATACAAGACATCCCCTTTCATTGACATCTACATTACTGACACGCTAGCATTCTTGAAAGGCAAGGTTTAAGAGGAAAAGTTAAATACAAAATCATACACAAAGCTGGTGAATCACTAAATATTAATTATAATGTTCTATTACTAGGTCACAGGGATAAAATACTTTACTATCCCATTCCTAAAGTTAAAGACTTTTTTGCCAATTACAGACCATGCTAAAAATAATTTTGACCAGGTATTTTTAAGCACTTATGATATTATTTCTATTTAATGAATTTCCAGCAGTTATCTCACTTGATTCAAGAATATTTACCTAGGTGGGGGGCTGAGATTGAACCAGGGCTTCACACATGCTAGGCAAAAACTATACCATTGAGCTCCCCTTTAGCCTTTAACTTTCATTTAAATGTGTTTTTCTTTTTTTTCTTTGTCATTTTTGTTTTTGTTTTTTTGAGACAGGGTCTCACTATGTAGTTCATACTGGCCTTGAATTCACTATGTAGCCCAGGCTGACCTCGAACTCACAGCGATCCTCCTGGGACAGTCTCTTGAGTGCTGGGACTACAGGTGTGCACCACCACACCTGGCCTTTGTGATTTTTTTTTTTTTAAGCTGTAGTACTTTATACTTCTTTTCCTCACATGCTTTTTGATAAGGATCACAAATATATTAATTCAAATGTCCTTAGTCATCAATGAATCTGAGCATTTTTTTTCATTGTAGTTGTTACACATTGGGTTTGCTTGTCTTTGTCTACCACTTATTTATATTCTTTGTCATTTGTCCATTTTTATTTGGTTTCTTTAGTTGTGCAAGTTGTCTGTATATCATATATATTTAATTTCTCATATGAAAACTGCTACAACTAATAAAAGAAAAACAAGCAAAACTAATAATAAAAAAGATAATATAGCCACATAACCAAGTGTGGTGGCACATACCTATAATCCCAGCCACCCTGAAGGATGAGACAGGAGAATCTCAAATTTGAATCCAGCCTGCGTAACTTAAAGAGACACTGTCACAAAAATAGAATAAAAAAGTGCTAGGGATGTAGCTTAGTGGGAAAGTATGTGCTTAGCATGCAAAAGACAATCTATGGGTTCAATCCCTCCAAAAACTGGAAAAAAAAGATAATAAAAAGCTGACCTTACACATTTTAAACTATAAATATTTGCAAAATACTGGTGCATTTTCATTTTTCTTCTAATTTCAACTCTAAATTCAGCATATGAGAATTTTGCTAATTTTAATATACTTAAAAATATAAAAATGATTAATCCTGTATACCTATTATCTTTGCTATCAGTTCGTAAGAAATTAATTTTTAATTATGCTAACCAAACATCAAACCAAAACATCAAACTAAACATCACTAACAGCTTTCCCAACTATCATTAGTGCACTAGAAAACTTTATTTCTTCGTAATTTAAAATCTTAAATGTCTTCCTTTACCATATACCTTGCCATTTTCTCACTTTGAAACTTTGATTTACATTTTTTATTTTTTGAAATAAGGTCTCCTTATGTCGTTGAGTTTGGCCTTGAACAGGTGGCAATCCCTCCTGCCTCAGCCTCCGAGTGCTGGGATTACAGGTATATGCCACCACACGTGGCTTTTCTGTTATTTATAAGAACACCAGTTAGGCCAATATTCAAATTACTTCCAACTATACATTTTCTTGTCAACATGATTCCTAACACAGAAAGTAACTTCCTTATGTAATTTTAAAGAAGAAAGGACCCTAAATGAAAAGTTTTTAGGAAAATGGCCATATTACCAAAACTGCTATACAGATTCAGTGCAATGCCAATTGAAATTCCAACACTATATTTCACAGAACTAGAAAGAAGAATCCAAAAATTCATTTGGAACCGTAAGAGACCTAGAATAGCAAAAGCCATCCTAGGCAACAGACACATGGCAGAGGGTATAACAATTCCCAATTTGAAACTACACTACAAAGCCACTGTGATAAAAATAGCATGGTACTGGCAAAGAAACAGACCTGAGGATCAGTGGAATAGATTGGAAGATACAAAAACAACTCCAGATGTACTCAGCTACCTCATCTTTAACAAAGGAGCCAACCATCCTCACTGGAGGAAAGATATCCTCTTTAATAAATGGTTTTGGAAAAACTGGATTTCAACCTGCCAAAGATTAAAACTAGACCCTTCTCTTTCACCATGCCCTAAATTAACATCCAAATGGATTAAAGATCTAAATATTAAAACAGAATACTAAACTTGCTGGAAGGTAAGTTAGGCAGAACTCTTGAAGACATTGGCATAGGAAAAGACTTTATGAACAAATCCTCAGTAGCACGGGAACTAGCAGAAAGAATCAACAACTAGGATCTCATCTTATTAAAAAGCTTCTGTACTGCAAAAGAAACCATCAATAGAACTAAGAGACAACCTACAATGTAGGAAAAAATTTTTACCAGCTGCTTCTCAAACAAAGGACTATTATCTAGAATATATAAAGAACTCAAAACAATCAGCTCCCCCCACAAATATAAAGACCCGATTCAAAAATGGGCATCCGAAATGAACAGACATTTCTCAGACAAAGAAGTAAAAGCAGCAAGTAAATATATGAAAAAATGTTCTACATCACTGGCCATTCGAGAGATGCAGATGAAAACAACACTGTGATTCCACCTCACCCCACAAAGAATGGCTGCTATCAAGAAATCACACAATAACAAATGTTGGCAGGTTGTGGGGAGAAAGGAACCCTTCTCCATTGTTGGTGGGAGTGCAGACTGGTGCAACCACTATGGAAATCAATATGGAGATACCTCAAAGAGCTGGGACTAGCGGTTCCATTTGACCCAGCCATCCCTCTGCTGGGGTATCTTTCCAAAACAATTAAAAGAATCATATCACAGTGATGTGATACCTATGCTTATAGTGGCACAATTTGCAATAGTTAAAACTTGGAAGCAGCCCATTTGCTAATCAGCTGGAAACCGGATAAAGACGTGGTTTTTCTATAAAATGGACTATTACTCAGCCAAAAAGAATGAGAAATTAGATTCACTCATAGGAAAATGGATATATATTGAGGACATACTCCTAAGTTAAATAATAAGTCACACATGTAAATACCAAATAGTTTCTCTGGTATGAAAAACTATAATAGTACATAAGATCCTAATGAGATAATTGACAATGTGAAATAGGGAGAAAAGGGCTAAAGAAGTAGGGAAAGTGGGACGGGCAGGGGAAAGGTAATAAGGGAAAAGAAAAAAAATATGAGAAAATGAAAAAATAGAAATAAAATGTTTGTAAATGGGGAGGAGAAGAGGGGGTGAAGGCAGGGCAGGGGCAAGAGGAAGAAATGAGAACCAAGACCTGTCACGTAAAGGTACAAGATCCCAATACGAAATGTAACTGTACTGTATACCTAAAATATACCAATAAACTCAATTTAAAACAAATTTTTAGGAAAAAGGAACATGATTCATAGCATTTATGATTTCTGTAGTACACACTATATAGGGATCCGGTACAAAAATTAATGCTGAAGTATATATTGCTTATAATCTCTACCTGTAACTTTATAAGACATCTCTCTGTAACGCGTCAAATCTTCTCCATTAACTAATACAAGCTTTGGACACTTTTCTTTCGCATCTCTCACTTTCATACATTTCTTAACTCCAAGTTTTCTGGCTTCATAATTGCAAGTAATCACCAAAGACTTCTGTTGAACACCTATAAAAAATAAATAGTCTATGAGGACTGAAGAAACAGTTTAAAATAATCGCTAATTCTATTCTCTAAGTGTGTAATGCAATGTTTTGATAATAAAAAGATGTCTTACTTAAATACAGCCTTTGTTCATCAAAGCTCTCTGAAGAAACATCAGACTTTTGAGCTATCTCCTAACTACATGAATCATAAGGTAGTAAGATATTATTTTCCCATGTCCATCCTACCTTTTTCCCCCTCTGGTACTAGAAATAGAACCCAGATGTACTGTCTTACTGAGCCATATTCCCAGCACCCTTTTTTATTTTGTGAGACAGTCTTATTAAATTGCCCAGGTGGGATATAACTTGCAATCTTTCTGCCCTACTCTCCCTCAAGGATGGGACTAAAAGCATGAACCACTGCACCCAGCTTCCCATATTCTACTTTTAATCTTTGGTTGTTTTGTCTACTTGGGGAAGAAGGAAGTTATGAAAGCAAAGAACACTGAATAACAGTAGTAGGAATTACATATCAGAATGTGGGTCTATTATTTTTATACAACAGGTGAATTCAAATTTAACAAAGATTACTACAAATCAGTATTTTATATGAAATTTTCAGTGATCAGTGAGAAATCAAATCACTCTAGGTTTTCCAAACAATAAAAAATCCCTTAATTTATAGTCATGCACAATAGATGAAAATAACTGAACATAATTAAAAACTGGTTGCTACTTTAAAAAATCCATTCATCTTATGAGTAAACTGCCAGTAAATAAAAGCAATGTTCTGATACAAGTGCCAACTTACAGCAATTTTTAATCATCTCCCCCCAATAAATACCCTAATTACTGAACTGTTCTTTATAATCATCCACAGATGATTTGACTGGGAGGTATTATGAGCTCCCTATCAGAAATAATTGTATTATGATCACCCAGAGACTGCACAAAAATTATCTGCAACTTAAGATATCCAAAATTAATTCTTTTAAACAAATTGACTTTACACCATTGTTATATTCATCTAAAAATATGTAATATGCAAACACATAAAAGGTTATGACCATTCTCATTACAATGTTTTTAAATTTTTGTTTTGTTGTTATTATTGTTTTGTGACAGAGACTTTCTTTTTAGTCCAAGATGGCCTTGCCCAGGCTGGCCTCAAACTCATGGCAATTGTCCTGCCTCAGCTCCTGGGTGCTGGGATTATAGGCATGTGCCACCTCCCCCGGCATATTTTTAATTGCAATTAATTTTATTGGTTCATTTTAGATATATACTAACATTCATCATAGGGAATTGTTTTTAAACAATTTTTAACATTATAAACAAGACAAAGAAACATTAACTCTTTTGTATCAGATTATACCCAGAAATATAATCACTGGGTCAAAGGTAACAGTTTGATCATCAATGAAATATATAAAAATCAAACTGGTAAAATCTTTTACAAAGCCTTTTACAGAATTACACTATAAGGACTCCCTACTGTATATCACAGCCTGAGTCGGTCATATATTCGTTCAGTATAAATGAAAGACTGCTTGTGTTTTCTCCAAGAAACTCTCAGCATTCAAATACCTCACTTCGTGATAATCATACTTGTACTTCTTAATCACACAATGTTTTTCAATAAGCTTTATCTCTAGAGCATCTTGTGCTACAATGCTGCTAAACAGAAATTTCTTCAGAAGGAAAAAAAACAGGTATTTTAATAAAAAAATCCTTGATACCCTTAGAAAAGTTTAAAGATACTACCTTCACCCTGGCATGCCAACAACTAGTCACTCCTTTGTTCTACAGTAAGTCAAAGAATCTGGAAAGGCATAGCAAGGCAGCAGAAAGAAACCCAAAATTGCCAGGGATTTAGCTCAGTGGTTCGGTGGCCTGCCTTGCAAGTGCAAGGACCCAAGTTCAATCCCCAGTTAGAAAAAAAAAAAAGAAATCCAAAATTGTTTATACTTATACAAAAATATACTTCTGGCACACACGCATGAAATTTTTATTTCCAATTATATTTCTAATTATAATATTTCTATAATATAATAATCTATAATATATGTCTAATTATTTCTAATAATAATAAAAATGTTAAAATATGAAAAATATAAATATGAAAATCTTCAATGTAAATTTATTTAAAATGTGTGTTGATATGGAAAGTGTTGTCAGTAGAGTTGTTTAAAATCCAACTATTTTGTTAGACATTACAATTACAAATTAAGAATTAAATTTAAAAAGGAGAAAATATATGGACTTCTACTGAAATGCAAAAATAAGGTTTTTGACATACTAGGTTTGTAAAATTTCAAACTCTAAAAGAAATCTGCATAGAGAATTAAGATAATGTTTAACACAGAGGGCAAAAAGTTCTTTTGTTTTCTATTTATTCAGATAGCTATACAGTACTAGTCTAATGCATCATTTTGGACTCATGACGTTTATACTTGATCATAAAGCAAGTATTTCCTATAAATAATCTTAAGAACAGCTTCCAAAATCTTTCTTAATAAAACAGATACAATGAAAATAAGTATCTAATTCTATCATTATACAACCAAAATATCAATTTAAAGAATTACCTAAAGGTTTGTTCTTTAATTCTGGATTTGAGATCATTTCTACTTGTGCATAAAAGCAATCTAGATCCACATGTACTATGACTCTGGATGAAATGTTTCCTGTTGGCACCGCTTGATCAGGAACTGCTGCACATTACACAAAGAAATACAAACATATTCAGACAGCTTATCATCTCTGAGCAGCCGATAGTTCTTCACATTTATCTAGGAAGTAATGCAGTGGTTTCAACTCCCCCCACCCTCGGATTCTTATGTCAAAGCATCGAAACATTTTTAAAAATGAAACTACAACTGCAATAGAGTCTTCAATCCTGTTTACTCAGCAACTCTTCACACACTGTATTTTTCTTAGAATAGTAATGAAGAGGGATCTTGATCAGTAAAGGATGATGTAAAAGGGAATACTACCACTGAGTTACTGTTAAGAGTAAATCAAAGGAGGCAGGAAAGTTGAAACAATGATTCCCAACCAACTTAAAAATATTCTCAGGGACCCGTCCCTACATTAAAAAAAAAAAAAAGACAGCAAAAATCAACCTGTGAGGGGTACTTAGCTCCCATATGAATGCAGATTGTTTTAGTGCTAAATTCCCCGGGCCTAGAACAGTACTTGGAATATAGCAGATTATTAATAAATATTAACTAAATTGAAAGACTGAATAAGTAGAGTATTCTGAGATTTTAAAATCTAGGAACTGGGGTCATAGTTCAATTGGTAGAGCACAAGTTTAGCTTGTTGGAGGTCCTAGGTTCAAGCCCCAGCACAAATAAATTAATTTAAATAAATTTTTAAAACCTAGCTTATGCCATGAGTGGAGGTGTAAGAGGTGAATCCTGCTCTTAACTACGATTAAAAATAAGTCCAGCTAAATGCAATGCTGTATTAAATTTGGAATCTGGAAGAAAAAAAAGAAATATTAGTAGAAAGTCTAGCAAAATCTGAACAGAGCCTCGCACACCAATGTTTATTTCTTAGCACCAAAAAGATGAAAGAGGAAAATTTATATCTGCCACAAGTTTTTTATAACCCAAAATTATTCTAAAAAAAAAAATCAAAATGAGAATCAGTGCCTTTGCCTTCAGACCCTGTTAAGCAGTACAAGGCTGGTACAAGCGAGGCTGGAAATGGGTCACCACAGAGGAGACCACAACAGTCGCGCGATGTTCCGAGCTATGCCTTCCCACCCCGAGAAGACCAGGTCTCAAACTCTGTCTATGAAGTGAGCCACAGGGTCCTCAACTTCTCCAAGACTAAGCGGCCAGGAAGAGTTTTCCCAGGCTGCTTCTCGGATTCTCGCCCCCTCCTAAGGGGATGAAGAGGGAGGTACAGATGCACCCCCTCCCCCACGCAAACGTAGGGCTGAAGCGCCCGCCCTACTCTTACTGGGTGAAGCCATCCCTTCTCAATATGCTAACCGAAAAACACCTAGACGGAAAAGGCCGAGAAAACGAAAGGAACCGAGCAGGAGGGGAGGGACGGTCGCGTCCCAACGGCCGCCGACTTCCAGCCCCAACCTGTCATTCGCACCCAGGGAGAATGCCCTCAGGCCCTGGCGCACCCGGCGAGCCGCCAGCCGCCCACGCGTCGGCCGGCTCCATAGCGGGTTCCTCATCCTAGTCCTCTTCCTCCTAGCGTTCACCTTCCTCCTCCGGCCCCGCCCCCAGCCTTTCCACGCCGCCGCAGCAGGCAGCACTTTGGCTTCCGGACGCTTCCTCTAAGTTTCCAAGGAAACCGCGGCCCACAACCCCCAGACCGCTCAGGTCCTCACGCCTGCGCAGTAGTGGCCGACTGGCCTGGTGCCTGAGACACTGAGGCTGAGGGTTGTTCAGGCCTAAGTGGTGGGGTTCGCTGCAGCGCTATCGATGCCGGAAGTGAGAACCCGAACGTTTCGCTTTTTTTCTTACGGGCCTTAGTGTTAAGATTATGACTCAGGTTTTAATTTTTTAACCTTTTCTCTCTCTGTTAATCAGATAAAGTGTTAACAAAATTGGGAAACTCTCGACCTGAGCCATTTTTAGGCATGGGGAAAGGGTATAATTTGGGTAAAAGCAAGGCAGCCAAGTAAACTGGTGTGATAAGCAAGTATGTTAAAGTTTGTTGTATTTTATTTTTTCTACTTCAAGAGGTTGTGGTACATTGGACCTGAATAATATTTAACATCAAAACTGACTAGGACTTTAGTTCTGAGCTTCCCCTCCCCCCCGGGGGGGGAGTGGGGGAAGAGTCAGATAAAATTTCTTATCCAGAGGCAGCCGGCACCTTGCTGTGACTTTAGGCCGGTTGCATAATTGCTCTTAAGTCTCAGTTGCTCTACTACTTTTAAAAAATTATCTTGTAAAAAAGCGAGGTGGTAGTTCTCTTGAAGCTGAATGTCCTCTAAAGTGCTCAGTGTAGCTGAGGCCTCTTGTTTCTAACTCGCCTCGTGGTCAGATTTGCTCAGATGTAAGCGTTTCTTCAACACTGACCTGCCGCAGGGTGTTGTGCAGCAAAGCATGTTCACCAGTCACCAAGCTTCCAGTCTTGTTCCAAGCCTGCATCTCTCTTCTCCATTGGAGTAGTGAGGGTTGTCAGTGTTTTGCTTCTGGACCTACACTACATATCTAGTTGCATGTTTGAATCTTTGCTCAGCAATGCACAATACTCCCTAGCTGCTGTCCTCCCTCTCTGTAGTCACTGGGGCCTAGGACAAGTTGTTACTATGTCCGTGGCAATGCTGCCAAGGCAGGTCCTTTGACACTCTTTGGCCTTAACCTTTGCTGGGTTTTGTTATTTTAACTATCAGGACCACACAGTGCTTTATACATGGACATATACCATGCTTTTGCCATGTTATTGAAGCTCTGACCTTTTTAATTTGAAACCTTAAGAGTTAATTCTCTGCCTCTTTGCCTCTGCTCCTTCATGCCATTCAGCTCACAATAAGAAATAACAGTAAGTCCACTAGTGAACAAACCTTCTTATCACATAGCTATTTTCAGAATTTGATTTTGAGGGGAGAAAATTGAGAGGAATTGTAGCCAAGAAATTATGAGACCAACTTTTTATTTTGGTGATTTAATGAGATTATCTCCCAGCTCACAAGACTCAGAGTATAGCTAAACGTTATGTATCAGCTTTGCCTTTCAATTTATCAGTCTCTTAGAGAATTCAGCTTTATTACTGTCAATACATGATCATAGTTTTATTCTGGGGAATAATGGACTAAAGGAAATACTGTTAATTAATGAGTAAAGATTATACAGAAATTTAATGTTTAATTTTAGAAACTTCCTGTCTAGCTTATACCAGTAAGTAATGATTATTATATGTCCAAGAGAAACTTTAGGAGATGCTGATATTACAGATTTCTAAATCCTAGGAAGAAAAGCTTGCAAAGCTTTTGAATTTAGAGAAGTTCCATTTAGTGATGAGATCTCCCTTGTAGATGTATCAAGATACTAGAGTCCAAATAGATAATTCTCAAATGTTTTACTTGTCCTAAAATAATCTGTCTACAAATATAAAAGTGTAAAATATTATTTACCCACTGTGGGAATTGCTATTGGGGAAATATATTTTATGAAAAGAAACATTTTTTTAAATTAAAAGGTTGTATAACAAAAATGTATTCTCTTTAAAAAATTAAAAAATTATCTTGAGTGTCTTGAGATTAAATGAATGAATGGGTTAAAATTAACATATGCTTTATTTAATATTCCAATATATATAAAGCACTTAGCACATTAGAAGAACTTAGTGTTAGTTATTTTTGCCTTCCGTTAGGATACCATTGGTGCCTGTGTGTTGATATTTGTGTGTGTGTGTGTGTGTGTGTGTGTGCTTCAATAGAGGAAATTGTCTTTCTTGACCTTGATTGAATAAAATATCCTTATGATGGAAAGATGGAATGTTGCTGGTCAAGAGCCACAATTATTTTGCACTCTCTTAGGCCCTTCAGGACAATAGCTATTTACCTTTAACTTTTATTGTGTCTGACCTCATATTCTCCCAATTGTTAGGTAAACCTCTTCAAAGTAGCTGGACTACCTACTGCCCCCACCAATCTATTTTGTGGTACTGGAAATTGAACCCAGAGCTTCAAAACACTCTACCACTAAACTACATCCCTAATCTTTTTTTTTTTTTTTGAGACAAGGTCTTGCTAAATTTCCAAGTCCAGCCTTGAACTTGCAATTCTCCAGCCTTAGCCTTGGGAGTAAACCACCACGCCTAGTTGTATTTGTTGAATGTATTGATTTATGACTTTCTTTGTTCTTTGGCTATGAAAGTTCAAGAAACTGCTTTCACTTTGGAATATGTCATTCAGAATATCTTGAATCCATGTTCCTGGAAGATGGTCACTCGTGTTTGGTTCAGACAATTTTCTTTATTTCCTTTAAAGCAGAGTTCTTATTTATGTCAACAATTTATGTGTGTATTAATGTATGTACATACATATATTCAAACATTTTTTATAATACTGTTTTTTATCAAACAGGATATGAAAACCTTGAGAAACCCTTTAAAGGACAGCTGATACATCCAAAAAGGAATAACAAGCAGAGCTGAGGCTCGGTGGTTTGGAGACCAGATCTTTCTCTGCTTGTTTCTTAGACATTTGCAGTAGCTCTCCTGAAGAGTCTGTGCAGGGTCTAATTCACCTGTTTAGAAGACCACCTTTTTTGTGAATGCTGTTTGGTAAGTTTAAGTAGAGAGCTTTAGAACTGAGTGCCCGTTTGGCCACTGAGTGCCTCTAGGGCTACAGAATCTGATTATTTGTATCTAATTGGTTTCCTTACTTCCTTTTTTTCTTCCCTCCTTCCTTCTTCCCTTCTTTTTCCTTCTTTCTTCCTTCCTTTATTTCCTCCCTCCCCTTCCTTTCTTTCCTTCTTTTATTCCTTCATCCCTTCCTTCCTTTTCTTTCTTCTCCCAAATTGTGAATGATGCAAACCACTGACATACCCTGTCAAATAAAACCAGTCCCTTTAGAAGTCATAGGCTTACCAGCATGCAACATATTGCTTCAGTAAAAGTGAGCCAGCAGTAAAAATACAGCACACATAATCACACCCTCTTAGGTCAGTTGCATTTATTTCCTTGTCAGTTGTCAGATTTCAACAGCCACTTATCATTTAGTGGAAGGGGAGAAAACTGGACCCTTGGGAACCAGAGCATAGTGAGCAGGGCTGGTTTTATGAGTGTGTAGCCTAGGCCCCATGCTTAGAATCCCACATACTTGGTTTAATATTTTGCTGTTGTCTTGAAATTCTTAATAGATTTTTGAATGAGAGAGACCATATTTTCAATCTGCACTGAGCCCCACAAATTATTTGGACAGTGCTGGTACCATGGAAGGAAAGCTGCATAGAAAATGTCACTTAAAAAACACCTGTGTGAGCCAGACATGGTGGCACCCGCCTGTTATACAGGACTCCAGAGGCTGAGGCAGGAAGATTGCCGTGAGTTCAAGGCCAGCCCAGACTACACAGTGAGACCCTGTCTCAAAAAGCAAACAAAACCAAACAAAAACCCTGTATGTTGGGCACAGGGCTAAGAACTTGACACAGGTCGTTCAATATCACTAGAGAGAATAAGTATTATTATTCGTTTTACCAAAGATGAAATAGGCTTGGAGAAACTAAGATGCTTATTTGACATATGAGTCTAGTAATGGCAGATAAACTTTTCAGAGTTTTTGACAAGGAAAAATTCATTCATAAAATTTCTCCACGGAAGAACCCAACTCCCTCTGCTGTTTGGCAGTGTCTAGAGACTTTTAGTGATTACCTCTGAGGTGGGGGTGGGGGGCTCTGTGCTGTTGCATCTAGGGATGACCAGAGATGTTGAACATTCTGCAACAACCAGACAGTCTCTCACAAAAAAGAATTATTCAGCCCAAAGCACCAAGAGGGCCAAGGTCAGGACCCTTGTGAATGTCTTTACCATCTTTCTCCCCACTACCCTCTTCCGATTAGGCACTGCAAATATAATGAATTGGGCTTCAGTTATATGCTTTTAAATTATAAGTAGGACTTTCTTTTTCATTTGGTTTTATTGTAAAAATGAGACATTTTTAGAGAAAGGATGATATAAAGTTTGAAACCAGTATTACTTAGCTGCTTTTACTCCAAGAACTTAAATTCTTTGGCTAAAAACAAACTTGTAAGGGCATTGCTAGAAAAGATTTTTTTTTTTTTTTTAATCTGCTCTTTGGGGCTGGGGATTTGGCTCAGTGGCACCACTCCTGCCTTGCAGCACAAGAGCCTGAGTTTGATCCCTGGTACCAAGAAAAAAAAAAAAAAAAAAAAAAACCAACTGCTCTTTTATGAAGTTTAGGAGTTACTCCTAGGGTGAAAGGCTAGTGAGTCAGAAATAATTTAAAAACCTAAGAAGCCAAAGCACAGAAAGAGTTGGGATGATTGGAAGCAAACTATAATTATGCTATACTGGCTGTTGTACAATGTGAATGTTCTGCAGTATTTATTTTTTAACTTTATCCAAAGGTCTTATGATTTTGGCTGAAAAGTTTCAGTCGTTATTTTTTAAACCTCTTCCCCCCTACCCCCTGCAAATTATAGATGCAGTTTTCATGCTCATGTAACCTGAAAGTATTTGCTGCATACCATGTTTGGGGCCAAGAGAAGGTGTAAGAGGCTGGAATTTTTCTTATAGCTTCTCCTTGCTTTGACCTTTCTTTGTGGTTCTGCCCAAGTATGGTGAAAAACCTGCATAGTCA